ACTGTTTTCTGCCGTTTTTCTCCCAGTTTCTTAGTTTGCTTGAAAAAACTGTTATGTGAGAGTTTTGAGCCTTCGGCCAGGGGGCCGAAGGCTCTCCAGTGTGCGCTGTGGGCTGCTAAGTGCTTGGGGCGCCGTAATTTGGGGCCTGCTGTGCTTCCTGGGCCGGTTGGGCCTTTATTGGTGTAGTAGGAGTCTGTGGGACGGGGGTTCCCGGGCCATATATTCCATCATATATACAAGGGAAAATATAAATTTTGGTTGACATAGAACTTATCTGATATAGAGTCACTCATACTCAAGTGGTTGTTTCGGTCTTCACTAAAATCATGTGTACTGTTCGTTGTTCTTGGTCGTTCCTTACCGGCGAGCGTAGGAAACTTCCGACGACAAGACAGATCAGGCAATGGTGACCTCAACCCTCTCCTCCGACTATGATGATGGCGTTCCAGACAAGCTACAGTGGTGGCCTGGTGCGACAGTAGGGGTGGATTCGGTTCGGGCCACCCGGCCCGTGACCCGGCCCGGCCCGGTACTGTGCGGGCCCGGGACCGACCCGGTCGGGCGGTCCGGGACCAGGTGTGGACCCGAACTGGTGGGAATGGGCGGGGCGGGCACGGTTCCGAATAAATGTGACCCGGCCCGGCCGGGTCGGGCCCGGGTCCGGTCTGATTTTTAATTTTTTTTTTAAATTGGGCTACTAGCCGTTGGGGGTGGGCTGGGGACAACCCAAACGGCTATATAGCCGTTGGGTGGGGTGCAGGGGGTCCGGGGGGGGTTGGGTGGTGGGGGGTGGTGGGGGGGGTGGGGGGTAAAAAAAACCTATAAATACTCCTAATCTTAAACATTTTTTCATATCTCTTCTCCAATTCTTCCTAAATCCTATTCTTAACTCTCTACTCTCTAATTCTCTTATTCTCTATTCTCCAATATATTATATTTATTATTTATAGTTTATATTAATTATCTACTTATATAAACTATAAATAGATATAAATAGTATTATATTACTTATATTTGTTATCTAATTATATATTACTTATATATTTATTATATCTATTAATATAGTTGGAATTATATCTAATTAATTTGAAGTCATTCTATTACTCCCATCCGAAAGACAGAAAGTCCGAAAGAGGTACGAAATTATTCTATTATTTACACTTGTTTAATTACTAGTTAATTTGCTACATTTGACTCTAGTTTAAAAAAATATGTTGTACACAAAACTAGTTAATCACTAGTTAATTTGCTATAACTCGATTTAATAGTTACATAAATAGTTAATTAGTTTTTTACAATTTTTTATTAATTGCTACATTTGACTCTAGTTTAAAAAATATGTTGTACACAAAACTAGTTAATTCACTAGTTAATTTGCTATAACTCGAATTAATAGTTAGATAAATAGTTAATTACTTTTTTACAATTTTTTATTAATTGCTACATTTGACTCTAGTTTAAAAAAATATGTTGTACACAAAAGTAGTTAATTCACTACTTAATTTGCTATAACTCGAATTAATAGTTAGATAAATAGTTAATTACTTTTTTACAATTTTTTATTAATTGCTACATTTGACTCTAGTTTAAAAAATATGTTGTACACAAAACTAGTTAATTCACTAGTTAATTTGCTATAACTCGATTTAATAGTTACATAAATAGTTAATTAGTTTTTTACAATTTTTTATTAATCGCTACATTTTTTAGATGGATCGTCCTAGATATTCGGTTGATATGGGTAACCTCGAGCGCAACCGAACGAAAGAGCTTGCGAGGAAGAGATCCCGCAAAGGTAAATCACATATCGGCTCTTCATCTCAAAGTCGAGATGATTTTGATACGGGTTACGCAAGGAGGGATGGGGATGCGATGACCGACGAACAACTAGAACAAGAATTGCACCGACATAATTCCCGCTTTTTTCAAGACCAACCGAGGACCATTGACGAAGAAGAGCTCGAGGACGAGGATGACGATGTGGAGGAAGTAATTCCGGAGAGCCACGACGAGGAGGAGGAGGAGGGTGGCGGCAGCCATGACGCCGACCAAGCAGCCTCATCCCAAACAGGTACAAAAAAAAGTAAATCTGAACTAATGGCTAATAATTTTTCTAAGTGGAAGGACCCGAACACCGGGAATTGGACCGCAACTTGCAATTGGTGCAAGAAAAACTATATCTTGGGGATTTCCGGCGAATACGGATCCGCCACAAGACACCTTAATTCCAAACACCCGGTGAAGTATGCAAAATTAGGCGGCGGAACGGGGAAGCAAACGCAAATATCGAGGTTTGCAAATAACCAACAAGCTTTTGGTAATTTCTCATACAATGATGCACAAAATTTGACAGGTATGGCTAACTTGTTGAAGAAAATTTGCCTTATTTGTTTTCTGAAAGTCTTGCTTTTCGTGATTATGCACAAACTTGTTTAAATCTGCAATATAGAGGTTATAGTCGCAAAACGGTTAAGAAAGAAATTTCAAGGCTTTATGGTGCGAAAAAGGTAAGGTTACAAAATTATTTTGCAAACTTTGATGGACGTGTTACTGTATGTTCTGACATATGGGAGGATACTTATCATAATTTACATTATTTGGGTATGACTGTACATTATATTGATAATGATTGACATATGCATAAACGTGTTCTTGCTTTCCGTGAATTTAATGATCGTCACACCGCTGAACATATTTATATTTTGATTGAACGTATTTTAATTGAGTATAATTTAATTGATAAGGTGTTTGCTAATGGTTTTGATAATGCTACTAATAATACTGCTGCTATTCCTAGATTGCGTGAATTGTGTGGTTCTACTTCTTTGATGGGTAGATTTTTTCATCAACGATGTGCATGTCATGTTCTAAATTTATGTGTGCAAGATGGTCTAAAAGCGTTGGGAGCATCGTTGGAGGTAGTCAAGGGGGGGATTAGACGTATTTGGGGTAATGGACAACTTAGGAAAAAATGGCATGATTATTTGATAGAAAGAGGTGAGAGATATGTGGCTTTTCCTAAAGATTTGTCTATTCGTTGAAATATTACCTATAAGTTAATTGGAGTTCTTCTTAGATATAAACAACATTTTCCTACTTTTATGAAACAATATGATAACTATATTATAAACTCGGCTAAGATCGACACCTGTGAAAAAATTTGTAATGCTTTGATATATTTTAATAATGCAACTGAAACTTTTAGTCATGTTTATAAACCTACCTCAAACCAATTTATTCGTGAAGCTGTTAATCTCACCAGTGCTTTTTCAAATTTTGAGAATGCTGATTATGTGAGTTATTTTGCTAGTTTTATGAAGGAAAAGTTTTTAAAATATTATTCACATATTCCGCATATTTATGGTATTGCATTTGTTCTCGATCCTCGTTTTAGACTTGGTTCTTTAGAAGAATGTTTGAATTATTATTATGCTGCTTTTTTTGGTCCATTGCCAATGTATGAGGACAACCCAATTGATCCGAAAAAAGAATACAACGAGGTTAGTGATATATTTTATGCATTATTCAATGAGTTTCATGCACAATATGGCAATGCGCCCCCTCCCCCGACACAAATATCATCTAAAGGAAAATCAATTTTCAAATCTACGTTTGTCAATCTTATTAAAAAAACGAAATCAACTCCCGCTACACAACAAAGCACAATTAATGAGATTTCTTTGTATTTAACTTATGATGTTGATTTTGTAGAAGATGATGATTTTGACGTACTAAACTGGTGGAAGGGAAAAGAAAGAATGTTCCCGGTTTTAGCAAAGATGGCTAAGCAAGTGCTATCAATGCCGGTTTCAACGGTTGCCGTAGAACAAGAATTTAGTTCGGCCGGCAATGTCCTAACACAAACCAAAACGAGGTTGAGCGCTGAATCTCTTGAGATGCTTATATGCTACCACGATTGGTTGAAAGCAGCCCGTAGAGCTCAACAAATTGACATCACCCCATCCCAACACTTTATGGATGAATCTACAACCGAGGGTGACTCTACCTATGCCGGAGATTCCGATTAAAAACAATTATAGTTCCTATTTAATTTTCAAATGTAGTTCCTATTTCATTTCAAATAAATGCACTTGAAGTTTGTTTTTTAATACTTGTATAAAACTATAAAGTATAAAATATAAATTAAAAAAAAAATTAACCGGCCCGGCCCGGCCCGGCGGGTGACCCAACCCGTGACCCGGGCGGGCGGGTGGCCCGGCCCGAACCGGACCCGTCCAACCCTCAGGCTGGTCCCGGACCCATGTGATACGAACCGGCGGCCCGACCGGGCCTAGGCCCAGCCCGAATCCATCCCTATGCGACAGTGACTTTATGTCTTCGTTACTTCTTCCCCCTCCGGCATGACCGCATGAGCGCAATCTGGAAATCCTGCGATGGCCGATACACCGGCAATTCATATTGTATTGTTGCGGCGTAAGGGCAACCCGACACTTTAATCTGCCCTGTGAGTCATTATTTAGTTTGTTTTATTTTAATCTTGTTTAGATCTGGTCATGCATGTTAGTTACTACCTCCGTCCCTTAAAACATTTCTAAAGTTGACCGACACGGAGAATAATAAAGTAAAAACTATGTGGTTAAGATTTGTGCAGAGGAGAGAAATAACAGAAACCACAAAATAATTAATTAAAAAGGAAAGTGGCAAAGTTTTTTTGGACGTCCAAAAAAAGAAAGATGGCAAAGTTTTAAAGGACGGAGGAAGTATTTAATTACTTAAGTTCATAAGTCACGTTATTATTAAATACACATTAGGTAGACGTGTGCATGTTTGAGTCATATATATCCATGCACACACGTAGGAAGGTAGCTCCTTATTCTTCTCAACCGTTTCACCCCACTCTCAAGATGTGATAAGTAGGAGGTGGGGTTGGAGGTTTTTTGTACTCGAATGTACTGCGTTTTATATGTATATTCTTGCGCAATTATCTTTCAAAAATCATTTGACGGCCTTCCCGATTGAATTTTTTGCTCAAATTTAGTATGGATGAAGTGATGAACTAGACTTGATGAAGAACATACAAAAAAATTTCAGCAAAAATACCACCAGAAACCACCTCAAATTGAGGTGGCCGTGCCACCCCCTGTCTGGCCAGTTACTAGTGTATGTGTGTGTGTGTGTGTATTACATTGCATAATTGCATACACGAATATAAGAAAACAAACTAGAGGTACACAAACTGAAACTAATCAGAAACACGTGCAAGCGCAAATTGGGCATGTGATATCTTATAGTTGAAGAAGAGATGCACAACATTGGACGGAAGAAAGAATAAAAGAATATCAAGAACGCGTTGAAGCTCCTCTTGCTTTAGCTGCAGCCTTCTGGTAGAGTTCTTCATACTGCGACGCGGATGAGTTCCAACTGAAATCTATGCTCATATCCTTCTGAACAAGTTGTCTCCATCCTTCACTTTTTTTGTTAAAATGATTAAATGCGCGCTCTAATGCATTACTAAGACCCTGTGCAGACCAAAAGTCTTGGGTGAAAACTTTGCATAATTCCTAGTGTACACGTCATTTGTACATGTTTCGAACATGCCCGGTATAGTTTGTCTATGTCCCAAACAACTTTTGCATTTTTAAGACAAAATGTCTGATACCAACACAATATAGGGACATGTAGAATATATGTACAAATGAGCGTGAACAAATGAAATTTTCCTAAAACTTCAGTTCATGCATTTTAGTAGTAGCAGTAGTGGTAGCCGTAGTAGTGGCAGCAGTAGTTATAGCAGCAATAGATTATAGATAGTAGGAGGGGTAGCAGTAGTGTTGCTATCACTACTAGTAATGGCAGCGGCAGCAGCAGCGGGATGAGTGGTGGTAGCGACGGTAGGGTTAGTGGTAGTGGTAGTAATAGTGGTAATAATTAGTAGTAGTAGTGATAGTAATATACAATCAAATCAAAAAAACTTTGATAAGAATAGAAAGATTGAGAAAAAATCAAATCTTAAATAATGCAAACAAAAACATTCAGATCAGACAAACAGAACAACTTCTAAACGTTACCTGTTCATCCGCAGTCAAAAATGTAAAGCCATTCCGAAATTGAATTGGTATGGTGTCATCATCAACATCAAAAACACTGCAACAAAATTCTTTATGCTAGTTAATGATAAATATCTGGTGCGGTACAACCTTCAAGACTAATAATTATCTAACCTGTCATTTAAGCCCCCGGTTTTTCTAGCTATAGGAATTGATCCATATCTCATTGCTATCATCTGCAGATTTTTATGTAACCAAAGAGTTAGCAACTTGGCATCATCACCTACCATGAAAAGAGTGCTAGATGATGACGGTTAAATTGAGTCTAGCTCACCTAAAATGATCTTTAAAAGATAAGATTTACGTCACCAGAACACAATAGAGTGAATAAACAAACTATGTGAGATACAAACTCTCCTTTAAGACCAACTAGAATGGGCTGAAAACATAAGGTGGACAGATGAACCAAAAATGACCTGAAGTGGGCTTTTCCTTAAACTGTCAAGCGGCGGGTAGCCCACAAACCATGTGTCCAAACCAAAAAGTCCGCAAGAGTGGGTTGTCAATGGATCAGAGACTGGCCAAAACTACAAGTTCCGAATCTGTATCCATCAAGCTGATTTTAGTCTAGACCCGGACCCATATACGCTACGGTTTCTCAACAAGTGTTCCAGATTTTGAACCCAGAGGGGGTCTCGAAACCAGCAGAGTATACCCGCAAAAAAAGAAACTAGAATATCTACATTTTGTAATGTGAACATTAATAATATAAAAAAACAAGCGACGGTGTATTGTATACGGATTAGTGGCAAATTTTTAAAAGACCATAGATTTTAAAACTTTAGGTGTATTTAATATAAAATTTTAAATCTAAAAAGTCTGAATTTCGACATTAGGGACAATCTCAATAGTCAAACATTCCAAGAGTCAAAGACTCCAACGGCTATAAACTCAATCTTACTGTCTACGATACCGTACTGCCAGAGATCTTTCTTCAATAGTTACAGCATTATTCGTATGTTCTTAATACTCCAGCGAAGTATATTCACCACGATTCATTGCTTTCTTAATTCCAACGTATATTTACATTGGAATTGAATATTTCATTTAGTAGCGAATGAAGAAGCAGCTAAGATCACTGATGAGACGCCGTGTAATCAAGCTTTTTATTCATTCTTATGGAATTATATAACCATAGATCCTTGTGAACTTTTAACTCATTACAACAACATTCAAGCCTTAGTTTTAAAAGATTTTGGAGTCAGCTAGCATGAATCAATAGAGAAAAGATATACATAAACGTCATTAGATAAAAAAAGATAAAAGATATATGTATATATAGAGAGAAAAGATCATGTGAGAAGTGCCTCTTAAAATGAGAAGTGAGAAGTAATCTTAGCCCTTGGATTTGCATGTGATCTTTCAACGCATAAACTTATAGACTAAATATAGGAACTTATAACTAATAAATCATCTTATAAAGCTCTCCATTATAATTATGAAAATGACACCGCGTCAAAAAAAATCAAGATTTCCAGAATTATTTTTTTTGCGGTGGCATGTTCGTAATTATTTCGAGGGGTATATAAGTTATGATTTATTGGTTAAAAGTTCCTATATTTGGTCTATAAATTTAACTTCGCAATTTTCAGTCTAAGAACACTTCTCACCTGATCCCCCCCCCTCTCTCTCTCTCTCTCTATATATATATATATATATATAGAGAGAGAGAGAGAGAGGTCAATATATATATATATTGACGGATAGTATTAGTATATCCGAGGGATACCGCTGAAGGGTATCTAGAGAGAAGTCAGAACAAGTAAGAGAGAGAGTGAATATGTATTCAATAAAGAAGTTATTCGTGGTCAGTTGTTATGTGACTTATGTCGATTACAATGGAAGAATGGCTGCTATTTATAGCAGCCATAAATGCTAGGTGCAATAAATGAGGGTACACGTGTTAAGAAATCAATGGTGGAGGGTCGACTCAGCCAGGGTGGCGTCGACATAGCATGTGGCCACATTCAATGCGGTGTTTCGGACGTGACGTTGCATTCAATGCGGTGATTCAGCGCATGTGGAGAGGAGATCCTGTCAAGGAGAGTGTCCTCGACTACATGCACCCGGAGGCTGCATGTGCCAAAGGCTATGTATGAGCCGAAGGCTGCCTGTGCCAAAGGCCGTACGTACCCAGGGGCCATTTGGGCCATGGTGGCGTGATGAGGACGTACGTAGCCGGGGGCCGTCATGTGTTGGAGGCCGTACGTAGCCGGAGGCCGTACGTAACCCGAAGGCTTTCATGTGTTGAAGGACGTACGTATCCTGGGGGCCTTCATATGCCTAAGGCCATACGTCCCCGGAGACCGTCATGTACTAAGGGCCGTATGTAGCTGGATACCGCCATGCGCTAAAGGCTGTACGTAGCTGGATACCGCCATGTGCTAGAGGCCGTACGTAGCTGGATACCTTCATATGCTAAAGGCCGTACATACCCAGGGGCCATTTGGGCATTGCTGGCGTGATGGGAACGTACGTACCCCGGAGGACTTAATGTGCTGAAGGACGTACGTCCCCTGGGGCCTTCATGTGACGAAGGACGTACGTCCCCAATGACGTTTCTGGATCAGGTGCAACTGTTTCTGGACGTACGTCCCCAGTGATATTATGGACGTACGTACTTTGCTGTAGTATAGGCTGTCCGGAGTCCTGTTTCCTGTTTGGCCTGATTGTAGTAGTGGAAGTATGTGGACCAGGGGTTCCTAGGACATATACTCCATCATATATATATATATATATATATAAAGAAAAAAAGATGATAAGAAATCAATCCGCCACACATATACCCGTCCTCCACTTTGCTCTCTCCAAATATATAACCTCATCCGACCCAAAAAGAAGCATGTCAATCCTGGCACCTCTAATCCACGTGTGTTTGTGTCTCTCTCTCCCTCTCCTCCCTACTTCTTCTCTTCACCTCACAACTCGTCTAACAGATACATCACTCGGTCTTCTACGCACATGACCAAACAAACGCAATCGAGACTCCTGCATCTTATCTTCAATAGGTGTTACTTTCACCTTTTGTCTTATTGTCTCATTCCTTAAGCGATCTTTTCAAGTATGTCCACACATCCAACACAACATGTTTCTTATAATTTTTATAATCATGTAGTTGACCTTTTATAATGTTTAGACTAATGAATGTTAGCTAACATAGCTTTTGTTTAAACTTTTATTTTTCATAAAATTGATATATATCGTTCATATGGAATTCATAGATTTATATAAACCAACTAAACTCATTCATAAAAAGTATATGAAAGATAGTGGGTTATATAAGTAAATAGTTACTTATCTATAAATGTGCCATCACTAAAAGTTTAACATGTACTACAAACTAATAAAATAAATATATGATGTATGTTTGTGATTTATATATTACAATGGGTTAGGACTTACGTCCATACTTCCTTCTCCTATAAAGGACAACAGTACTAGATTTGGACCCATACCCTAAAAAACTAGCTGATCCGGGTCGATTTCAGGTCTAGAACCAACCCATTGACAACCCTACTCAAGATATTACAACTAAGCCATACTTATATATCATACTCATAAAAAAGACAACCCATGTGGGATACTCGACATTGTCTAGGTAATTGTGGCCTAGTCATAGTGGATTAGTTGGGGCTGACCAAGCGAAAGTAGGTGGTTGTGACTGACCAGGGGGACGCACCAAAGAAAAATTTTAGACCATGCATTTTTACCAGAATGCACATCAAAATATGTTGATAAGTATTTTCTTGTTTTGTCCTCCAATCCTTCCTTATTTATGGGATAATGTCCAAATATACCCTTCAACTATTTCAAATCTATCACTAACGCTCTCACATTAAAAAAGTACTACCTCTGTCCCACTAAGATTGGGATAAGAGCGGGTGGTGGTAATAAAAGAAAAGTGGAATCGTGTGGTTGGTATTGAATTGATAAAGTGTGAATAAAGTAAGAATAAATTATAACCACTCAAATATTACCAAATATGGTATGATATAAATATAATGGGACAGACGAAAAAGGTAAAACGGGACAAAGTTAGGTTGGTATTATATAAGCACACTTACTCTAAAAAAATGAATCCGATCATTTTACCGGTTTCTGGCCTACTAAAATAGGTTATTTTTATTAAATCTAAGATATTTGTTAAAATTTGAAAAGAGCCGAAAAAGGTAAAGAATTGAAAATGTCAAACTCTGTTGTTTTTACGGATTTGGAATTATTTGTATATTGTACATCTTTTTAATTACATTCACCTTTTAGTTTTATATTTTTCACATTTTTAATTTTATATTTTGATAGTCCAATTTTAATTTTAACATTTAAAATTATTTATCGATTTTGACATTTTTTTTTGTTTTTATATTGTTTCTACATTTTTAAAAATTATAAGATTTTTTACAAAGTTCACCAATTTTATTTATTTATTTTTTCAAACATGACCTACTACAGCAGATCAAGATGTTTGAATTGATTATTTTTCCAAAGTAAATGTACTTGTACGATACTTTTTAGTACATGGGATTAAGTGATGCATTCAAAATAGTAGAAGGGTATATTTGGACCTTTGCCTTTATCAATAAAGCAACCCTTGACTGTACCTGTGTAAGGCCACATGGCTCAAAGATAGACGGGATGATAAACATATCGGATGCTGCAAATATTAAACGCGATAGAGATTCATCATACTTCAATACCAACCGAGCATGTTCATGATTCTGAAAATGGTTGCTAATATCCTCAAACTCCCTCTGCGACAAAAGTAGTGAGTGCATCAGTGGCATATTTGTAGATCAATACTGAAGCGATGTAGAAAACAAATGTTTTAGGGTACAAATCCATCTAAAGAAAATAAAAATATTAGGATTTAAATGTGTTTTATAGAGGCATGTTTAAATTTGTTAGTCATATATTAGAAACCAACGAATGTTTTAGTGACATAGATAGATTTCCCTTTTCAAAGCTCAAGAATCTCTATTTCTCTTTCTTTTTACAAGGTCCTTTGCACTCCACTAAAAAAATTCTAAACTGGCTCTCCTAACCTTGTACCCCTGATGAGGTACCATAACATTTTATTATAGGAGTCATGGATTTAGGTAGAGTAAGTGTTAATTCTATTGCATTCTTGGCGTAAGAGTTTACAAGCCCAACCTTAACTATTTGGTGTGCCTTGGATAGTGCTTGCTGTCTTGGAATGGTTGGACTGTTGGAGGCCCAAAAGGAGAAAAAAGACCTGAAAATCTACTTGGGACTTTGGGAGAATTTGAGATGAATTTTAGATTAATCCTTAGAGACTACATTAATTATTTCAGATTCTATTGTTTATTTATTTATTTCAGAACTTTATATTAATACTACTGATTTGACAACTAGTTAATTTCAGCGAAGATAAGTATTAGTAATTCACTCTAGACTTGTTTTGGGACTTCCCTAGTTTCAATTTTTATCAACTTAATCAACTATATACGTCATATTGTATCTCTTACTGACACATTTTTTAGCGGATTGTTTGGTGTGGGGATCTGTTCATCTCAATTATATACTCATTTTTAAAAAAAGTTGGTAAAAACTTAGCCATGTGATGCCGGAGTTTTTAAAATTATCAATGTCACTGGAGCCCTTTTACCAAGTTGTCAAACAGCCTTCTTTAATATTATCAGTGTCCCTGGAGCTTTTTTAACCAATTTGTCTGCCACCCTTTGTTTTTTACTAATTTGGTAATTCGGTCAATGTTTTACCATAAATAAAGTTAAGATTCTTTTGCTGTTGAGAATATTTCCACTTGTGGAAAACAGCTTCACACACAAGTTTTATTTGTTCTCTCATGTTGCACATAAAGCATTGTTGTACAAAAAGGTTAGTTTTTTGTTTGCTTGACAGGCAGAAGTATAGCTTTTCCAATCCCAGAAGTACGATAAAGAAAAAATGGGGTGTGTAGCACTCAAACTCAAAATTGGATGCATGCAATAGTTTTTAAACCTAATCCACGAACCAGGTAGGTAGTGATGCTTTTTTCAGGTGAAACTTATGATTCAATTTCTTATAGTGTACATCCCCCTACTTGAGATGCCAAAAGACTCAATGCGCAAGTCGGAATCCATAAACATAATTCATGATTCAGCAAGGCAATTTCCATACAAACAGTTTTCCTTAACGTATAAATGATCTCAAATCCATTGTTTCTTTCATTTAAGACTTCATACTAATTCCAACACATGCCAAATACATGACAAATATATCAAGTTCTCATATTTTCGCAGTTAGAACTTAGAAGTACCAATGAAAGAAAATATGTAAATGTACCTGAATATGTGAGACAGGGCTTGAACCGAGAAGAATAAATTGTCCTCCCAACTCAAGAGTTCTATATATAGCATGCCGAATAAGATGAACACCTTTCTGAGGCACCAATCTTGTTATGCAACCAACCTACAAAAAGTTTGAAAATAACTGTGTTGAAGGCTTGAGGTTCTTATGATAAAACTCCGGATGGATAGTATCAGGGTGGGAGGGGTGTCAGAAGAGAAGGGAAGGGAAGGAAGGGAGTAAAGGGCTAGTTTTCATTTTAAGAAAATTCTGTATTTATTTGAAGATCTTTCAAAAAACAACCCATGCATACTCATTTATTACGGTAAAGCATCCATAGTTATCCTTAATTCCTTATTAAAAAAGACAATCACTCCCCTCCTTCCTAATGAAAACCCCGTCATCCCAAACATACAACATTCAAGCTTTAGTCCTAAAAGATTTTGGGGTCAGCTAACATGAATCGATAAATGATATCGGAACCAAAGGGAAAAAATAAAAAGATAAGCTATGATAAAAAAGATAATATAAAAAGAGATAGGATAAACAAAAAGGATAAAAAGAATATATATATATATATATATATATATATAGACAATCTTTCATGTCCAGCCGGCCTGATGGGAACCGCCTTCCGGCCGAGGGCATTTTGGGCCCTTCCCGGTGGAAGTTTTTGATGAAATTTTTTGACCATGTTCTTCATCAAGTCTAGTTTACCCATATGAAACTTCAGCTAAAAATTCAATCAGGAAGGCAGTCAAATGATTTTATGAGAAATACTGCGCTGTTTATATATATTAATTGCGCAGTGTTCTTAAATAATTTATTTCACTGCCTCTCCAATTGAATTTTTAGCTGAAATTTGATATGGGTAAACTAGACTTGATTAAGAACATGCTCATAACATTTCATCAAAAAATACCAACGGGAAGGGCCTGAAATGCTCTCGGCCGGAGGTTCCCGTCAGGCCGGCCTGACAGGATTCGCCGTCCGGACGAGGCCATCAGAAGCCCTTTTTCATCAAGTTTTTGATGAAACTTTTTGAGCATGTTCTTCATCAAGTTTATTTCATCCATACCAAATTTCAGCCAAAAATTCAACCGGGAAGACAGTCAAATAAATTGTTGAAGAAAACTGCGGTGTTTATGTGTGTGTGTGTGTATAAAGCACAGTTTTTGTAAAGAATTTATTTGTCTGCCTTCCGGATTGAATTTTTAGCTGAAATTTGATATGGATAAACTAGACTTGATGAGTAACATGCTCACAAAATTTCATCCAAAAATTCCACCTGGAAGGTCCCCAAATGGCCTCGGCCTGACGGCGGTTTCTGTCAGGCCGGCCTGGTACGATCTGCCACATATATACACACACACACACACACATATAGTATATACATATATATATAGATAAAACGATATAAAAAACAAAAACGCAAGAAAGAAAAAGAAGATGAGGGGGAAAAGATAATAAGAGATGACTCCGCCGCACGAATACCCGCCCTCCACTTTGCTCTCTCCAAAGTCATACCCTCATCCAACTCAAGAAGAAGCATATCACTTCTGACTCCTCTAATCAACATCTGATTGGCCCTTCCTCTCCTTCTCTACTCTGCCTCTTATCCACATCTCTCAACTCGTCTGACACACGCACCATCCCAAACATGCCATTAGGGAAAATTATTCATTGTGATGTAGCTCACCAGTGCTATGTTGTTCTAGACTTCTGGGTCATAGTATTCAAAAAATTATGTATGCAACAAGTAAGATATTGGTATAATAAATGTTAGAATATATCAGACTTTGTTTTTCTCAGACCTTTTGAAGTTCTGAATTGCATAACTTCTGAAGTGTCAATAACATCTTCATATGAAACTAATTTTTTGAAGAAGTCGGACTCTGTCTTTCTTTTACCAAGTATGCATTGTACAAGATAAAATACGAACACAATACTTGGTTTAATTAATGGCCTCTCCGATGGAAACATGATGATGAAACAAAGGCAAATGGACAAAAAAATTAAGTGAATGAAGAGAATAATATTTTTCCTTCATTTTCAAAGGAGCCAAAGACTCCACTATTTTTTGGCTTTAGAATATGATGGAATAAAGCAAAATAGATCACTAAACTGTCTGCACTTCTTTGTTATGAAACAGCAGTCAATCCATGCAATTTTCGATGCAATTTTCATCATGGGTCATCCGGAAAAAGTCTCTTTGTGCTTTAGCACAGGGGTAAGACTTCGAACATCCGACCCCCCCCCCCTACCCCAACGTAGTTGGGAGCCTTTGCGGGCCTTGCGGCATTGGAGTAATGTTGTTGTTGTTTGTTCTTGTAATGAAGAGAATAATATATACCAATGGTTGACTTTTATCGGCAGAAGATAGCCCCAGGCGACTCCTTAATGCTTCTTTATTTTCTGCTTTTCCTTCAAAATCACTTGCATTGTACTGAGCCTTTAGAAAAGTATCAGAAGCTGGATTCCAAGCATCAGAATCAATTCCATTTAAAATTCCAATAAACTTCTTGGCATGACATCTAATTGTAGAATGAAGGCCTTTTCCTCCCTGTACACCATGAATGAATTCCATTTAAAATTCCAATAAACTTCTAGGCTAAAACTACACTATTTCTTAATCAATTTGCATATTTTGATCCCTAAACGCATGTCTGGTAATATTATATCTCTTTAAATCTCCTTAATGTCAAAGACCAGGGGCAAAGAAGAAAAAGTACAGGCGGAAAAGGGAAGTTAAAGGTCATCAATTCTTACATAGTAAAATTTTATCCGATCCAATCTACAAAACCGAATCCCCCCCCCCCCCCCCCCCCCCCCCCCCATGACAAGAGAAATTATCTTTAGGCTGATAGGAACTCAATACGACAGCCAGTTCAATTTTATAATAAAGTCTACCATAGGAGGAGTAGAAAGGCAGTTAGTAATAACTAACTAGTCTGTTAGTTCTGTTGTTCCCTGTGTGGACAATTTTACTATAAATAGAAGCTTATGAACTAGAAGAAGTGGGCTTTTATTACTGTTGAGGCTGTACTTGGAGATTGGGCATCTCGAATGGTCCTAGAGCATTGTATCCCTTGTGATCTGTTCTACCTATTGAATAAAGCTTTTGATCTGTTCTCCTACTTTTTCTATTGAATTCTATACTGTTCTGTGAATCAAATATCAGTGTTCTATCATTGGTATCAGAGCAAGAATGGAGAAGAGGGTGGATTCGCTGGAGAATAGGGTGGATTCGCTGGAAAGGAAGCAGATTTCGATGAAGAAGAACTTAACAGGAATGAGAAAGATGGCGGAAAACATAGCCAGACAGCAAACTGCGATGAACGAACAATTTCAGGGGAGAGGGAGATCGCGAGTGGTTAGTACAGGGTCGAAGATGTCTTCACCATTCGCTCCTCACACTTCCAGTTCTGTGTCGCAACTTGTTCCTCATAGATCATCATCGCGAAAGGTTTTTTCGGGTTCGCTAGATTCGCCGCGAACAGTAGCTCCTAGTGGGCAGACTACGTCGCAAGTAGAAGATTCCCGTTTGCAGTCGTTAGTCCAGCAAACTGCTCCAAGTTCATATCACAGTTCGCAGTCGCGAACCCCATCTCCCAGTTTGCAATCGCGAACTCTTTCTCTCGTTTCTCCAAGATCGCCGGCTTCCTCATTCGCAGACTCTCACAACTCGTCTTCTCTAGTCGTCTCTCACCAGGTGCAACTTTCATTGCTTGGAACTCCACCGTCTACACGGAACACTGAGTTGAAGCTGACGCTGTCTACATCTTCAGTTCAAGAATTGGAGACGAAGGATGATATTCGGCAAGCGGCAGAAAGCGTTGATTCACCAAACAATCTAGAAGAGTCCGAAGCGCGCAAATCAGATAACCTTACCTATGAAGTTCGAAGCTATACTGGTGCCCTAGATCGAAAACCAGAAGATTTTAAATCTTGGATTGGTAGAGTTTCGGAACTTGGATTGGGTGTTCTAACGGAAATTATGCACCCTTGTTTACTAAACAATAGTTTGGAAGGGCTGAATAAGATTAATGGTGTTCCTTCTTTGAAGTATATTCAAAATGAAATGGGAGTAGGATTTCCCGGAAAGTATAAGGAAAATGTTATGGTTTCAGATTCTGATAGTCCTGAGTTCTTAGGAATACACAAAATGCGGATTGAAATCTCCAAGGAAAGTTGGAAGAGAAAAGAAAGTACAAACTTTGAGTACTTGGTGATTATCAACACACTTGCTGGAAGATCTTATAATGATTTAAGAGAGTATCATGTGTCTCTTTGGGCTCTAGCTGATTATTCATCCAGGAATTCCTTGCACTCTGGTACTCCTTTTCGTAGCTGGAAACAGAAAGTACCTTCAGGCAATCTATCTAAGCTCTTGTTGACAATTTTGGATAGCAAGAAGTGTGTAAAGGTAATGATGCATAGTCTGGAGGAGTTGGTGTAGTGTCATTGTTTTTCTGCAGATAAGAAAGCAGCAGGCCCACACCAGGATCTGGTTGATGAATACCAACCAATTCTTTGCTAAAGTGGAAGAAAAAAGGTTTATTGAATCATGGCAGGAGAAGTTTGCGGGATCCCCGGTTGGGCGTAGAATACCAGACACTACTTTTTTCACCGTAGCCTCAGTGTCAGAGAAGATATTTGTAAGTTGTAACAAAGGTTTCTGGAAATTGTGGTGCCACTGTAGGACATATTTGGGAGAAATTTCGTGTAGAAGACATTGCAACAGGGGTTGATGAGCAATTTGCGTATGCGGCAGTTAAGGTAATCGGCATGGATGTGCCTCCTCCTGTAAAAGTAAATGCTTGTCAACCACTGTCACAGTTTTTAACTGATACAGACTCTGGAGTCGATTCGCCACACATCAAGCACTTAATTTCATCACTCATCAATGATCAACCACAGTTACCACACTATGCATAGGATTTATGAGATACTACGAGCTACTTTCAGGGCAGATCCTTTTACCAGCTCTGAGGCTCTAGAAGTTTTAGAGCAGCCTGAAGGAATAATCCTCCAAAGTAATGACAATAACAAGATACAGGAATTACTTGGATGGAGTGAAAAGCCAACGGTGGAGGAAGTAATGATGAAGATCCTGAAGTTTTCTGAATATTATTTCCTTGAATTCATTTACAAGAAGTACATAAGCTATTTATACAGATAGGAATCCTGAGAGAGTCTATTCAGCACCCTAGGTGACTGTCTAAATACTAAACATAAATGATTGAGAACTGAAAAGACAGCAGCTATTAAATACAACCTGAAGCACTAAAGATACATAATTACAGTAATAATAAGGAAAATAAATCCTAGATTAATGATGTCTCTTCGTTTTATCAACACTCCCCCTCAAGCTAGGTTTGTAGATATCCGTCATGCCTAGCTTGACAATAAGACCCTGGAACCTAGGACTGTGCAGAGGTTTGGTAAACACATCTGCAACTTGATCTTCTGAGGGAGTGTAGCTTAGTTCGATCAGACCTCCTTCAACCTTTTCTTTGATAAAGTGCCTATCAATCTCAATATGCTTGGTCCGATCATGTTGGACTGGATTATGAGCTATGTTGATTGCTGATTTGTTATCACACCTCAATTCCATTGGTCCTTTCCACTTGATTCGTAAATCTAAGAGAATAATTCTGATCCATAGAAGTTCACATAAGCCATGGGCAAGAGCTCTTAGCTCAGATTCAGCAGATGATCGTGCCACAACATTCTGTTTTTTGCTTCTCCATGTCACGAGGTTTCCTGCTAGGAAAACACAGAGACCAGTAGTTGACCGGCGGTCAACGAGGGAGCCACCATAATCTGCATCAGTGAAGGCTTGGACTGATAATTGTCCACCCTTCCTGAATATTATCCCTTGCCCTGGACTTCCTTTTAGGTAGTGAAGAACCCTATAGGCTGCTTCTAGATGTGGTTTCCTTGGATCATGCATGAACTGGCTCAAAACACTAACTGCATAGGCAATGTCAGGTCTAGTATGAGAGAGATAGATAAGTTTGCCACACAAGCGCTGATACATTGATGAATCAACCTTGGGTTCATCAGTAGCAAGTCCAAGCTTGTGATTAGGATCCATAGGTGCATTAACCGGTCGACAAGCACTGTTACCGGTCTCATTTAACAAATCTGTAATGTACTTTTGTTGGCTGATAAAGATGCCTTCAGATGAGCGAGCAACTTCAATTCCAAGAAAGTATTTTAGAGGGCCAAGAGACTTCATCTCGAATTTGGATTTCAGCTGCCCCTCAAGACGTTGTTTCTCAACTGGATCATTACCCGTCACAATGATGTCATCCACATATACCAAAAGAATAGTGACTCCATTTGGGCGAGAGTGTTTGTAAAAAAGAGTATGATCCCCTTGGCTTTGACTATACCCAGCAGCAAGAACAACCTGTGTGAAGCGGTCAAACCAAGCACGAGGGGATTGCTTGAGACCATAGAGGGCTTTTTTTAAATGACATACATGTGTAGAGGTTCTTGTTGATGTTTTATTAAAGCCTGGGGGAATGTACATGTAGATCTCATCATGCAAGTCACCGTGGAGAAAAGCATTCTTGACATCAAATTGCAATAAAGGCCAATCAAAGTGAGATGCCAAGGATAGTAGGATACGGACAGTATTGAGCTTAGCTACAGGAGCAAAGGTCTCTTGATAGTCAATCCCATACGTCTGAGTGTATCCTTTAGCCACAAGACGAGCTTTGTACCGCTCAAGAGATCCATCAGCCTTGTATTTGACAGTAAAGATCCACCTGCAACCAACAACATGCCTCCCAGGAGGTTTAGTCACAATATCCCAAGTATGGTTCTTTTCAAGAGCTCTAATTTCCTCTTGCATAGCATCCCTCCATTCTTTCTTTCCTAATGCCTCAGAAACAGAGTTGGGTATGGGAATTTCATTAAGTCTCTGAACAAACAAGGCATGTGAAGGAGAGAAGTTATCAATGGTAACAAAATTAGCAAGAGGGTATAGAGGTGTTTTGGTACATTGACGTACACCCTTGCGTAAAGCAATTGGCGGAGATGGTGGTGGAGAAGAAGAGACATTACCTGGGTCAGCCAATTGGTCATGCGTCAACAATGGAGTGAACCTGTTTTTCCTTGAGTACACTTTTGTCACTGGTAGAGGAGAAGATGGGTCATGAGTGGTGGATTTAGTAGGTGTAGGAATGGGATGATCTGGTGGTGTATTTGATTGAGGTTCAGGTGATGTTGAAGACTGTTGGGAAGTAGGTGAGGTTGCTGACACATCTAAGGAATGTGATGGATGATCATGTGGTGGTGGTGGTGATGGGATGTCTGGTGATAAAGGCTTAGGAGGGTAGGAGATTGTATGTGGTGGAGAAGATGTAATAGTATAGGTGGGCAGAGGTGAAGGATGTGGAGTATCTTGGGATACAGGGAGAGAAGTAGGAGTGTAAAAAGGTGTGTCTTCGTGAAAGGTCACATCTGCACTGGTGTATGTCTTTCTGGTTGTAGAATTATAGCACTTATATCCTTTCTGAGTTGGAGAGTAACCAAGAAAGATACACTTAATAGATCGTGGGTCCAATTTTCCCCTATGAGGTGGAGGAATATGAACAAATGCAGTACACCCAAACACCCTTAGATCAAGATCAGAAGAAATTCTGGTTTGAGGAAAGAAATGACGGAGAGATTCAAGGGGTGACTTATTTTGGAGTACCCGACTGGGAATTTTATTGATGAGATGACATGCTGTGAGTGTGGCTTCCCCCCAATAGTGTTTAGGCATATTTGATTGAAACAATAAAGCCCGACTGACGTCTAGGAGATGGCGATTTTTTTCTTTCTGTTGTGCCATTCTGTTGTGGTGTGTACGGACAAGAGGACTCATGAACAATGCCTTTTGAGAGGAAATAAGAGGAAACGGTTTGATTGAAGTATTCAAGAGCATTATCAGTGCGGAAGCGTTTTATTGTGGCGGAGAACTGATTATGAATCATATTGCAAAAGATAGGAATGATGGAACTCACCTCACTCTTGTTTTTTAGCAGAAAAACCCACATAAAACGTGTACAATCATCAATAAATGTAACATACCACCGGGCACCAGATATATTAGCAATTGGAGCAGGACCCCAGACATCACTATGTATAATATCAAAAGGAGAACAACTGATTGTATTACTTCTGGAAAAAGATACACGAGACTGTTTAGCAAGTTCACAGACATCACATTGAAATGTAGAAACATCAATACTACTAAAAAGACTGGGAAACATGGTTTTTAGGACATGAAAAGAGGGATGACCAAGACGCTTGTGGTGAAGCCAAATAGTGTTGGTATTGGCTGTGATTGTGGTAAGATCTTTTTGTGGAGGTTTGGAGACAAACAGTGCATCAAGGTAGTACGGGCCATCTCTTTGTTTAGCAATTCCAATCGTCCTCCCCGTGTGTAGATCCTGTAATAAACAGTGGGAAGGGAAAAAAATGGCAGCACAATTAAGATCAACTGTGAGTTTGTAAATAGAAGCAAGGTTCATAGCCAGGTTTGGGACATGTAGGGTGTTTTTCAGATTTAATTTTTCAGAAAAAACAACCGTACCAAGTCCCGCAACCTTTGTAGGTGTCCCATCAGCAGTAGTAATGTGCGTGGATGTAAAACATGGATGATAATTAGAGAGTAAAGAGGGTATGGCAGTCATATGAGATGTGGCACCTGAGTCTAATATCCATTGGGATTGTGAACTCTGTTCCGAAGCATTAAGACAAAAAATAGTAGAGGTTTTACCTTGCAGGGCCAAAGAGCTATGACCAGAACCATTTGAGTTATTAAGAGACTGTAACATCATACGAATTTGCTTTAATTCCTCCTGGGAAATGGGCCAAAGATTAGTAGAGCTCTCAACAATAGTGGGAGTGACTGAGTTGGCACGTCCAGCACTCATTCCACGTCTGTCTTGGCTTTTCCTTTCTTTCTGTAGATGAGGATAAAGTTTCCAGCATGTATCCACATTATGGTTGGACCGCTTGCAATGATCACACCATCTTCCTCCCTTACTACCCTTAGTTTCCTTAACATCTGAAGGAGTAGATTTGGCAGCAAGAGCTGTACTGTCAATCAGATTTGTATTCATCATTATATTGCGTCTGCTCTCTTCATGTTTGATAGTGGCAATGGCAGAAGATATGGAAGGCAGAGGAGTAATGCCAAGAATTTGACCCCGAGTCTGATCATATTCGGGATTTAAACCAGACAAGAAGCAATATAGACGTTGCTGATTTATATAGTTCTTGTGAAGAGCTGCATCTGCAGCATTCGACCACTTCATCGTTTGATACTGGTCAAGTTCAGACCATCGTCGTTGGAGGTCAGTTGCATAATCTGTGACAGATTGTGAATCTTGCTTAAGATTCGTTGTTTAGAGCCATAAGTCATAGACAAAAGCGCCATCTTTAGCAACAGAGTAGGACTGCTGTATGAAATCCCAGATTTCTTTAGCCGAGTCCATGTATAAACATGTACTGCTAATGTTGGGATCCATAGAGTCCCATAACCAGACCCGTACGTTGGCATTAGTTTTCTCCCAAATAGCAGCATCAATCTCTCCTTCTTCTGGGGTAGAGACAGTGAGATAATCTTCAAGATCTTTGCCACGTAGAAGAGTGTAAACCAGCTTTGACCACCCAAGATAGTTCCTGCCATTGAGACGGTAAGATGGCGGGATAGAAGGGAGATCAAATTTCTGGTTTCGAAGAGCAAACGCGGCTGCAGTAGCAGCTGAAACAATGGTTGAGTGATCAAGGTTACTTGAGGCTGATTCGGCTTCTTTAGACATGATAAAACCCTTGATGAAGAGACTCCACCGGGAGTTAAAGAGAGAGAAGGGTAGAGACACCCAAAAAATGGCCGTTGGAGAGGTGATAGACTGACTCAAAAAAGGCTTAGACGAAACCAAGCTCTGATACCATGAAGTTTTCTGAATATTATTTCCTTGAATTCATTTACAAGAAGTACATAAGCTATTTATACAGATAGGAATCCTGAGAGAGTCTATTCAGCACCCTAGGTGACTGTCTAAATACTAAACATAAATGATTGAGAACTGAAAAGACAGCAGCTATTAAATACAACCTGAAGCACTAAAGATACATAATTACAGTAATAATAAGGAAAATAAATCCTAGATTAATGATGTCTCTTCGTTTTATCAACAGATCCAAGCACAGAAGCTAAAATCCCAAAAATCAGTAAAGTATTGGGAAGAGAGAGGTGCATGAATGAAGTGGAAGATAATGGTTGTTCCCTGTCACCCATGACCCACCTTGAGGGCAAGGTGGTTGTTTGGGGGGGGGGAGTATTGATAGGAACTCAATACGACAGCCAGTTCAATTTTATAATAAAATCTACCATAGGAGGAGTAGAAAGGCAGTTAGTAATAACTAACTAGTCTGTTAGTTCTGTTGTTCCCTGTGCGGACAATTTTGCTATAAATAGAAGCTTATGAACTAGAAGAATTGGGCTTTTATTACTGTTGAGGCTGTACTTGGAGATTGGGCATCTTGAATAGTCCTAGAGCATTGTATCCCTTGTGATCTGTTCTACCTATTGAATAAAGCTTTTGATCTGTTCTCCTACTTTTTCTATTGAATTCTATACTGTTCTGTGAATCAAATACCAGTGTTCTATCATAGGCATCTTAACATAATTACAAAGCATTACTAATTATTATCATGCAAATCACATTCTTACCTCTACAGTCCGAACCTCTTGAGCATATGTTGGTGAAACGGTAGTTACAATATTGGAAAACACAATTGCACCCTGTGAAATCAATTATAGCAGACGTGTAAAAAATGGAAGAAAGTATTACAAATCAATTCTGGGAAAATACCTTTAAAATAATACAAACTATCTTTTATTATGAATTTAAAATACTACATACTTTGGAAATAACTTGTAATAATACCAACTATTTAAATATAGACCAGAAGTGATATAGGGTATTTTTCACCAAAAATCTAGTCATTTAATTTCCCAAAAATTAATATTAAAATATCAAATAAGTGATTGTATTTCCGATTATCAGTTATTTGATGGTTTGTAATTAGGTTTCGATGTCTTAAATGATTGAATTTCTTGTTAAAAAATGACTCCATATTATTTTTTGTTTTACATTCAAATAGTTGGCATTATTAAAAATCATTTTCAAAGTATGTATTATTATTGGTTGATGAATGATAGTTGGTATTATTTAAAGTTATTTTCTTATATATTATTACGAAGTTCTACATTAAAAAATGTATAAACACCTTTACAGGGTTGATTCTGTCATGTGATGAATTATCTTGCATCCTATCTGCTCTATTCAAATGGGAAACATCAAGACCACATGAAGCCAACTCTGATGCTAGTGCACTCCCTTGATACTCAAAATTATGGCATGTAAAACAAATCCTGGCCGAGTCCAACCCTTTTGGTACATAAAGATCCCAGTATAGTGGTGCCTTCACAAAATAACAACACACACACAAATCTATTATATAATAGTTGAGAAACCAAAACATTAACTGGTAAAAAATATAGCAAACCTCCATACAATGAATGCCGTTTGCCAGTCATGGCAATGAATGATATCTGGTCTCTTGCCAGCTTGAAGAAGAAGCTCAAGGGCGGCCCTGCTAAAGAATGAAAATCGTTTGAAATCATCATGCTCCCCATAAAATTGGCCTCTACAGAAGAAATCCCCCGGATGCTGAGGTTCAATGAAATACACTGGAAGGCCTGCATGAAATCAAACCAAGTAAAGCATACGATACTAAAGCTCTATTTGGATGGAGGGTTTTGGAGGGGAAGGCTTTCGAGGGTTGACTAATTTGATATATATATTTGATGTTAATCTAAAAAATGAATGATTAATACATTCTATTTATCAAAATATTGACTAAGACCTCAAAACCCGCCCCCTCCAAAACTTCTCCAAAACTTAGCTCCCAAACTAGCCTAAACCTCCAATCCTCCATTGAGGTGCATGCCAAACAGAAAAAAGTTTTTTTTACCTTCAACAGTTCCTATCCATATTTTGCTTTTGAACAATACACCATCGAAGTATGACTCAACCATGACATCTAAAGCCTGAAAATATTGAATAACGTAAATACAAAGTTATACTTCATTGTAGCCAAATAGTAATATTGCAGACCAGGTTGTCACAAATCAACGAGCATACCCTAATGTCAGAAACCAGCTCATATTGCATACAATCATATTTAGGAAGCACGATTTCAACAAGGTGTCCTTTCTTCTGCAGTGCCTTGCAAAGGCCTGTCACCACATCTCCTAGACCACCAACCTATAATGTAAACAAGCATTAAAAATGTTAGAAATGCATGAAGCCACAGTAAAACAATGTCGAATTGAAAAAGGTAGAATCCTAAATGAGGCATAAGCTTATGCAATTTTTTCCCCAACATTTGCAATGAAGCCAAACACTCACTATATTTTGGCTTGAGAATATGATAGAATAAAGCAAAATGGATTACTTAACTGTCTGTGCTTCTTTGTTATGAAGCAATAGTCAATCCATGCAATTTGACTTTAGTGCAAGGTTTTGGTTCTGGATGTGGAAGGCTAATACCCTATCGCCTTGAGTGCGCGATAGGGTATTCCCAAAGTTCATTGGTTTTGGTTCTGGATGTGGAAGGGAATACCCTATCGCCTAAAGTCATCCATTGTAGTGCAAGGTTATGAAGCAATAGTCAATCCATGCAATTTGACTTTAGTGCAAGGTTTTGGTTCTGGATGTGCACTCAAGGCGATAGGGTATTCCCAAAGAATTTGACTTTGGCGTGCAAGGTTTTCCTCCACAGCCATTGAACTTATTGATGAGGTTGGGTTAATGAAGTCTATCGTGAAGCCTGATTTTAAAGTTGACCAGCTTTTGGTTCTGGATGTGGAAGGCTGCAATTTGGTACTTTCTGCAATTCGGGACTCCTCTGATTCTGGACTGAGATGGACTGATGAGTTTGCTCTTGGTAGCAATGTTGAACGAAATGTTCATAAAATAAAGGAGTTTGGTTCGGTTATCACTTTTAAGAATCGGGGCACCAATATGTTCATGTCTATTCTGCCCGAAGTTCATCAGGATCCGGTCCCTGAAGCTCTTTCTGTTGCTGCAAGAGCTATTGGCTCTCTTATAGAGGAAAGGAAAGAAGAAAACTTCCCAGACTTGGGACTTTGGCGGTTAGAGAATCTGAAATCCCATGGCAGCACTGTTGTGCACAACTTCTGTTGGCTGTTGAAGTTTTGTAAGACAAATCCTGCTATTACAAATAATTCTATCATTGATATTAACTGCCGTACAGAAAAGTGGATGATAAATGGAGAAGTTTGCATAGGGCTTGTTGCAGACAATGAGTTGAGTAACTTTAGTAACATCAAATCTGCATCCAGCACATTGATAGTCTCAGAAGTGAGAATCCTTGAGGAGTCTCATGAAAACAAGGAAACAATTGTAGCTAGTGAGTGCTTGAAGCCTTGAAGGCTAATGCCACACATGAAACTGCACTCGACATATCTACTGCAGCAGCACCATTTGTGATTTTGAAGGAACAAGTACGGAAGCTTCTGGTTCTGCAAGCAGTGAGGTATTGGGAAGGAAGAGGCGCGAGGATGAAGCTGAATGGCATGGGCAGAAGCGCACCAAACACAGCGCACATCAGCCCTATCGACTGAACAAAGGCCAGGCGCAGTTTTCTGTGTAAGGCACAGGTTTTGCGCAGAAGCGCTCAAGCGCTAAATAGCGCTCGCTATTCTCGCCTCAGGTGGAAACACGCGTTTAAGCGTAATATTTTAGTTTCAGACTATTTGAATTAAGAAGCCCATATCTATAATATGATAAAGCCCAACTAAATATCTAAATAAAAGGTCAAAACGATGTAAATTTTCGTTAATCAACCCAAGTCACAGTGTTCGCTACTCAAGTCCTCAACTCTCCTGCTCTGCTCTACTCACATTACCACAGTCTTCTCAATATCCACACCAACCGCAGAAGCTGGCAGCACAATCAATGACAGTAAGTTTTCTTCTCCTTCACTGTTCTATTTTCTTTTGTTTTTTGTTTTTTCAGCATCTACTTCTTATAAACTCTACACAAGTCAAACATATATATCTGTAAACTATCAATATAGTTGTCTATCACGTGTGACTCTCTTCATTGTTCCATTTTCTGATCATTTAATTAGAAAATATTTTCCATTTTTCTAATTATTATTCCATATATCTGTGAAGATTTCAGAGAATCAATTCGGTTTTATGCCTGGTCGCTCAACAACTGAGGCTATTCACCTTCTTCGTCAACTTATGGAGAAGTATAGAGATGCTCATAAGGATCTGCATTTGGTGTTCATTGACTTAGAAAAGGCATATGATAGGGTACCTCGAGAAGTTCTTTGGTGGACCTTAACTAGGAAAGACATATCACGCAAGTATATCAGCATCATCATGGATATGTATGAGGATTGTACTACAAGTGTTCGTACTAGTGTAGGGAGGACTGAAGAGTTCCCTATTACTATCGGAGTGCACCAAGGATCGGCCTTGAGTCCTTTCTTATTTGCCATAGTCATGGATGAACTTACGAAGTCAATTCAAGACGATATACCGTGGTGCATGATGTTTGCCGACGATATTGTATTGATTGATGAGACGCAATCAGGTCTTAAAGCAAAGTTGGAAGTATGGCGACAATCATTGGAGAATAAGGGTTTCAAACTAAGTCGGAGCAAGACAGAGTGCATGGAGTGCAAGTTTGGTGGAGGTAGAAGTAGTGGTAATAGCGGAATTACTCTGGATGGTAAGGAGATACCAGTCAGCGATATGTTCCGTTACTTGGGCTCCATAATTCAAAAGGACAGTGAGTTAGATGGAGATGTATCCCATAGAATCAGAACAGGGTGGATGAAGTGGAAGAGTGCGTCAGGATTTCTATGCGACCGAGGTATGCCGACTAGACTGAAGGGTAAATTTTATAGGACAACAATTAGGCCTGCATTACTGTATGGCGTAGAGTGTTGGGCGGTGAAACAATGTCACATTCAAAAGATGAGTGTGGCAGAGATGCGCATGCTGCGTTGGATGTGTGGGCATACTAGGAAGGACCGCGTGAGGAATGAGACAATCAGACAAAGGGTGGGAGTAGCACCTATTGAAGACAAGATGCGGGAGTCGCGCCTACGGTGGTTTGGTCATGTGCGTAGAAGACCGAGAGATGCACCTGTTAGGCGAGTTGAGATGTGTGGAGAAGAGGCAGGGAAGAGAGGGAGAGGAAGACCCAAACAGACGTGGGTTAGGGGAGTTCGAAGTGATATGCTTCTTCTGGGGTTGGATGAGGGCATGACTTTGGAGAGAACTAAGTGGAGGGCGGGTATTCACGTGAAGGAGTGATCTTGATAATCTTTTTCCCTCATCTTTTTTTCCCTAGTTTTTTATCCTTATATATATATGATGGAGTATATGGGTCTGAACCCCAGGACCCACATACTCGGAAGAACAGAAAGCACAAGACAACAGAGTGGCGCCCTCGTCGGCCAAGATGCCCCCGTCGGCCGAAAAGGAGCCAACTCGGATTATGGTCCTGAGTCCAAGGAACCCGGGTGCCCTCGTCGGCCGTGCCCTCGTCGGCCGTGCCCTCGTCAGCCACGCCCTCGTCGGCCACAAAGACCTCCCAGAATCGGATTTTATACTTACTCATCTGTACAGCCCATTAGTGGCTTTGTATTCGGCCCAGTAGCGGTCCAGTTGTAAATGGGCCTCCCAAGCCCAAGGCTTGGGAGCCCAACCCTAATTTTCTCTATAAATACTCCCCTTGGGAGTAGTTATAGGGGTGACAAATTCATTCTATTGAAGCATATTAATGCACTTCTCTCTCTAGCTCTCACTTCTCTCTAGATATACTCTATCATTTGGTGCTCTCGTTGAGAGCTAGAACAATCAAGTTAGCACCCTTCGTCGCTACCAAGCACAGCTAACCACTGATCATGGGGAGAACTAAGTCAAACCGCAACCTCGTCAGCAAAGTCATCCCTGAGGACCAAGAGCCCAGGGAGCACGATGAGGACGCCACGGCCGACCAGGTCGGCGGAGGGGACCTCTTCCAGGAGGCCTTCAACCTCACGACGGACCTCCGCAACCAACTCAACGGCGGAGTCCCCGACGCCCGCCTCGGCCAGGAAAAGAAACGAGCTGAGAAAGCGGACCACGCCCCGGCCCAGCCTATGGCCGCGGCCTCTCCGTCCGTAGATCCTCAGGTCCAGGCCGCACTATCGGCTATCATCGCCAGCTTGGCTCAGAATCCCACCGTCCTCAGCGCACTTTTGCCAAGGACCGGGGGAAACGTCACTCCACCTCCTCATCCCCAACCACTGGCCGACCAGATAGGCAACAATGAGGGGGTTGTGGCCCAGGACACGACGTCGTCCCACTCCCACCCTGCTTCCCCTCTTCGGCCCGGGCAGACCCCAGCGCGTGGAAAAGCCTCTGCCTTCAATAGGCTGGGTGACACGCGCCGTCGTCCGGTTTCGGAGAGGATGGCGGGACGGATTGGTGATCCTCGTCCTGGCTCGCCAAGGGAGAGTTTGGGGTCTGTGTCCCGGACAGCGGACCAGCCCCGCCCGGACAAGGGCAAGGGGAAGTTGCACGGGGATGACGTGCGCCACCAGATCAACGCGGCTCACAACGAGCACCTGAGGAACCAGCCGGGCGCCGCTGCGGCCGACAGGGACCCCCGGGACGAGGTCATCGCCCAGCTGGAAAGGAGGCTGGCTCAGATGGAGGCCAAGCAGTCGGCCAACATCCCTACGGCCGGCGCCTCCAACGACCCCGGCCTCAACGCGCTCATTAACAAAGTTAGCGCCCTGGAGAGGGAGCTGGCCGAGGGGCGAGGTGACCCCATCATCCAGGTCAGGACCAGGACCCCTTTCACCAACAGGGTCCTCTCGGCCCCCATCCCTGAGAAGTACAGGGGGAACGCCATCAAGTCCTACGATGGCCGATCAGACCCCCAGGAGCACTTCAGCCGTAACCAAAACAACATGCTGATGGTGAACGCGTCCGACGAATACCTCTGCCGGTGGTTCCTCTCTACTCTCGAGGGGCCAGCGTACGAGTGGTTCAACGGACTGCCAGAAGGAAGCATCGACTCATGGCAAGATCTCGCCCAGCGCTTCCTCACTCACTTTGCCGGGAGGAAGCGCGCCAAGAAGTATTTCACCCACCTCCTCTCCGTCAAACAGCAGCACGAGGAGTCCCTCCGGTCATTCATCGACCGGTGGACGAGGGAGACCGAGGAGGTCG